AGATATGAAGAGGGGAGAGTTGTATTTAAGACCCCCTGTACAGTATACTAGGAAAGCAGTTCAAAGGATTCTTTTTTTGTGAAACAGTGGTCAATTGTTTTTTCAACCTGGAGTCACGGGCATAGTTTGTCAAGACAATACAGGATTGCAAAATGTTCCATTTCCTCAACCACAGCACCTAGAGCTACCTGAACTGTGAATCATACAAAGAATTTGTGAAAAACACAGACAGTGATGGGTGGCACAGTAGCACTGTGGTTAGCATTGCTGCCTTGCAGTGCTGGGGCCCTGGGTCCAATTGTGCTGTCTGTGTGGAGTTTGTATGTTCCCCCTGTGTTTATGGGGGTTTCCTCCAGGGACCTTAACGAAGAAACTTTTCAGGTCATTTAGCTACTAAAAACAAATGAGCTAAACAGGCCAAATAGACTCCTCTCTTTCCTAAAGAGAATAAAAAGTCACTTTTCAGAACTGGTCTTCAGCATTGTGCAAGCAATGTTTTGCTGTAATTGTGTTGCCTTGCACAGATTGTAATAGGTAAATGCCTATATGACGAGAAAGAACCTGGACCAAACTGGTGAATAAATTTAATATAGGGTTAATATCTGGATATTAAATTAATTGTTGATCAGTAAACAAAGAGGTGTATTGGCTGTTGTGATGTCACTCTTAGCACAGAATCCAGATGTGCATACTGATTCTTCTAATACATATAAAGCAAGAATGTAACTGTATAGTCAAGCTACTGGAATCAGCATGTTTAAGTTGTAACCTGAGCTCGAGCCACGTAAGCAGTTACAAGGTTAACCAGAAAAACTCAATGAGGTTTTTGGTAGCATTTAGTTATGAAATTATCCAGATCGATAAGCTACTAAAACAAATGAGGTAGACAGGCCACCTCCCCTTCCTAAATGTTCTTATATTGCTGGATATAAAAAGGCAGTTTTGCTGTATGTCTATAAAACATAAATCCACATCTTTATCTGTTCATAAGCATTGTGCATTATTCCTGGAATTGTGTTATCTTGCACAGGTATTAATAGGTAAATACCTACATGATGAGGAAGTACTGGGACGAAACTGGTGAATTCATATAGGGTTGGTACTTGGATAAGATTCTGCTCTTATTTGTATCCAAGAAAGGATGCATGGGTAACGACCAGCCCACCCCCTTGCTAGGGGGGGGGGCATTATAACAACCGGCTCCTGGCAGAGGTTTGGCTCAGACAGACCCAGCCTGCACCTCTTTGGACTCAGGCATGGCTGTGTTTACTGGAAAAGTGTTCCTTATTATTTTTAGTTCGGGCTTACAAGTAATTCATCCCATAAAGGACACAGTGATTTAATTACACAAGCTAAAAATAAGAGATTTATTGACTTCATGAGGAAATTGTTATATATTGTATGACATCTAAATGAAAATGGTTTTATTAAATCTCATATTTAAAGAGCCTGACTGAGAGAGTGAAATGGTCAAGTTTGTTGAGAGGACAGGGGCAATACCTTATGAATGATCGCAAACAAGAGAAGGGCACATACCAGTACTTAACCAATCCAAGGACCTTATCCAGGTGTTTTGTGAAAGAT